GCAGGTTTTTTAAAAAACCATCGCGGCAGTGGCAGGATTTTTTTTGGAGGATATTGAAAAACTGTATGAATTTAATAGAACTTCAGGATTTACAAATGAAACGCTCTGATATTGAATAAATCTGATGGACTAGTACCCATATCTCTGGTCAAATATAGTCACAGCAGTGAAATTAGAAACATTTTTTTGAAAACCGTCGCGGCAGCGGCGCGGTGGCGGCACGTTTATTTTATAATTCATCGCGGCAGCGTTTCTTTTATAAGTCATCGCGGTGCGGCAGCGTCGCGGCAACATTTTTTTATAAATCGTCACGACGCGGCAGCGGTGCGGCAGCTTTTTTTTTCTAAGGCCGCAGCGCGGCAGCGGCAGATTTTCAGCCGCGATGGACATCTCTGCTTTGAGAAAAGTAAGAGAATATATTATTTCAACGATGAAAAAAAAACCAAAGAAATGTACTGTAGAGATACAATATGCTATATAAAAAAACAATATCATGATACTAAAAAAGTAGTTTTCGAGCGTGAAATCAATTCGAAGGTATTGTAAGATGACGTAAGAATTTATAATTGATTAATATAATGCCTTGAAATAGTTTCGAAGTCGTAGTACTTTATCAAAATTATAAAATATTTTTCGAGATAAGGTAATCATCTAGAAAGATCAAGAAGGCTCAAGACAGAAAATAATTCCAACCAGTAGGAAGAAAAAATTATTTTTATTTTCCAAGTTTTAAAGCGTAAGAAAAACGTACTATTTCTGTATGAAAATAAAAAACGAAGGAATGTTCAACGTATTTTATAAGGATTGATATGAATACTTTTCGCAAATGCGAATGATTCCAGTTTGAATAACTGCATCCTTCTGCAAAAGAGACTGAGTTAGAGGCTATAGACATTATATGAAAAAAGGAAGTTGATGGAGTCGTCTATTAAATGATATTATTTAGAATACGATAAAGTTTCTGTGTGACATTTCGGCAAAATTTTGTTTTCGTATTGTGATCATTGAATTAAATTTTTTTGAATAAAACTATCTTTTGTTCTGGAAAAGATTTGAAAATAAACGTTGAAAAAGTCAAATAAATCTAATTCGATAAAAAAAGATTGTTAAAGAAGTGATCAAAAAGTTTCCTGAGAATTTTTCTTCTGAGATATCTTTGGGATTCTGACAATATTTTCCTATAAGTTTTTTTTTAAATATTTTTTTTGTACTATTCATTTCACTTTTCTTAGTCTCTACAAAATTACGCGATAGCTCTATAGTAAAGACAAAATTAATGTCGAACTATTGCTCTTCCCGTGTAAGATGTTAAAAATTATTAAGACCTTGTGAAGATTGTATATCTAAGACTTTATTTAATTTTTCTAGAAATCATAATTTTTTGTATAATTCTCAAACGATGAATCATCGAATCTTAGATAATCTGATTGTTTGAAAATAGTTTAGCATTTCAAGACTTATTTCTACAGATAATTAGCTGTGTATGGCATATCAATTTTTGATTTTAACAACAAGAAAATCTCTATTTTCGAATGGTTAAAATAAAAATAAGATAAAATAAATTTTTCCAGCGATTAAAAATACAATCATTTGAAAATGACTTCATCGTATTCTATCAAATCGAAAATAACTACAGTTCTGGAAAAAAAATAGTTGCCATCCCTGAAGTTTAATTAGAAACGACTTTTAATTATATAACATATTATCTTCTTATTAAAAATATCTATTAAAAAACAAATGCTAATTTTTAGTAGAACATTCTCATGAGACGACAAATCTATTCTAAAAATTTTATATCCGCAACATATTGATTGACGGCGAATTAGCGCTACGACATAGATTCCAGAGATGGACAAAGTCGCACCGCGCCTCCCCGCGCTGTTGCTCACGCCTACGCTACACTAGTCTGAGCTTCGATGAGCGCATGCTTAGAGCATCCCGGTATTCGGTGGAGTTTGAGAAACTGATTGATAGAGCAAAGAGAAAGAGAGATGTGCGTAGCGCCTAGGCGCGAGCAGCGGCGCGGTGCGATTTTGTCCATCTCTGATAGATTCATTATACTAAGATTCTGACTCTACGTTACATGTTTTGATGATTAAATAAAGTACAATATATGGAACTGCTTTCAGCTCTAGAAAGTATATAGTTCCAGTGAATATGTTTTTTTTTAACGATAAACAAGATGTGTAAATCATCACATCAGTACATATGAACAAATGGAGGATGGATCAATACTTGAAAATAGACATTATGGTCATATCTAGTTTCAGAATGAAAAACTTACCAGTCCATCTATATGTTCCACCCCATGGATTTCTTAATTTAACTAATCTATATTTTCCATCTTTTGATTGTTTAAGATCTTGTAATGAATAAGCATGAACATTAAGTAAACCAACTTTTTCAAATTCTTCTTTACTAATATGATTATTACAACACATAGCACACATTAAAAATTTTTGAGAACGTGCATTTAATAATTTTGACCATAATTTATCATAATCAACATTTTTATCATCTGGATTATTTGCACGACCAAGTATTAATGTTTCACATGGACTTCCTGTAACTGTAGCTAAACCTAATATTAAAAAAAACAAAACAAAATAGTTCATTAAAATTTAATTAAAAAAAAATAATAAAACCTTCACAACATCGACCAGCAATAATTGCTTCATAACTTCCATTTAATTTTGCTAAAGCTTTTTCAATTAATGGAACCTAGAATTGTTTGTTTTTTTTTGTTTCATATTTTTATTTCAAATAAATGCAAAAAAAAATTATTCGGGAATGTTTTTTTTTTACCCAAAGTTGTTTTCGATGTGCTTGAGAATAAGCTAATTTTTTATTTGATGTACATGGAAGACGATCATCAACAAGAACTTGAGTCCATTCACCATCTTAAATTTTACAAAAATTTAATTTATTATTATAATCAATTGAAAAATGTTTTTTTTTTATTTTTACCTTTACATAAACGTACACAATAAATTCCTTCGTTATTATATTGTTTAGTAATAAGTACCTAAGTTTTTTGTTTTTCAAAAAAAAGGTATATAAAATAAAATTTATTTAAAAATTTACTCTCATTAAATATTCAGGTTCTTCAGCAAGAACACTTAATGCTGTTATAAACCAACAATCACCTAAACCTCCTTGAAGTACATCATTCGGTTTTGGATCTCGAAAAATTGTCCATTGTGTTCGAAGATTATCCGAACATTCTTCTGAAATTATTTGATCAGGTCTTAACCATTGAATATGACTATTTGATGATGATGATGCATTTAAATTCATTCGTTGTTGATTAGGTAAAATCGATAATGTAAATTTTGAAAAAGAATTTCCATTAATATAAAGTGATTGAGATGATGCTGGAAAATTTTTATCTTTAAATTTAATTTGTCCTATTAAACAAGTTCGAAGAATTTGTTCAACATGTTTTAAAACAATATGTTCATCAACTTTATGTTTATGAGCTATAAGAACACTACGTCGATGATCATTATCTTCATCTATTGAATTTTGTTTTTCCATTAAAACAGTTCGTTTTTGATGATGATGACTAGTTGATGAATTACTAAATAAAACAAAAAAAAAAAAATTATTTTTATTTTTTATCAAAGTTCAAATTTGCTTTTTTTTTTTTACCTAATTCGAATTAATAAATTTTGTTGATGTTGATTTTTATTTTTCATTTTATCCATATGATCGATTGAAGGTATATAAACGTTTATTTTATTTGAACCACATTCTATACATAATTGTACATTATTTTCATTTATTGTATGACATAATTGACATTGCCATCGACGTTTAATAATAGAAGATTTTATTTGTGTTGTATGTTGATGTTCTTGAGAATGACTTTGATCTAATGAACGTGAACGATAATGTTCTTGTTGAGAATTATTTATTGATTCTTTTTCTCGTATATTTGATGAATGTAATAATTGTGTATGTTGATGATGATTATTATGTCGTGATTGTACAAGAAAATCGTTATTAAATGCACTAAGAATTTGTTTTAATGATTGTTCACCTTCTGGTGATAAAGTTAAATTACTATTAAGATTTGCTTGTGAAAATAGAGTACCCATCGACCATTGGATTTTTATGTTCTTCTATTATTCTTTCTTTCTTTCTCTCTCTCTCTTTTTGCTTTTCCTTGTCCAACCAAGTGTGATTACGAAAAAGAAATGAGGTGAATAACAACGATCGTCTCATTTATGTACATCGTACGTCTTCGCATTTTTGACACGGTCGACATCAATTATTTCCTCATGTATATTACATTTGAAATAATGATGAATAAGAGAAAAGGAACAAAATAACGATCAAAAAAAAACGAAAATGTATGAAGAAAAAAGAAAAGCCATGCATCATTCATTATTTGTGATAATGTTGAAACGTACGCTCAAAATTGAAAAGTGTTTATCAACGATGTTTCGTACAGTACTGTTTTTATTAATTGAAAATATTCATTATTGTTATAAATACTTCTTCAAAATTCACTCTTATTTTATTATTAGGAATTTTTATTGTTTGATATGTAGATATTTAAAAACTTGATCAAAAGAAATAATATTTTAACAATAAGTTTCGGATTTAATATTGTTGTTTCAATTAATTTTTATAAAATTTTTTTCTTCTAAAAATAAAAATATCATTGCTGAAAATGACATCTATAGTTTCTTAATAGGATTGATAAATTCTTCTTAGTTATTTATTTAGATAACAAAATTCTCAAATATAATCACTCCGATACCGAATAGTATTTTTCATGAGATGTCATATCGACTAGTTTTTATTGAGAAAAGTCAAAAAAATATTTCGAAAGGGATATGCAATCGTTCTCAAAAAATATAACAAAGTACTGTGATAGTATTCTGTAAAAAAGCAATTTGCTTATTTATTGAAAAATTTGCGCATCTTTCTCTTTTATATATATTCTAAACAATTTTAAATTTTGATTATAAACTTGCTTTACTTGTATCAAAATGGAAGTAATTCATGATGAAGCAAATCAAGAATTCAAAATTGAACTTGATAAATCAACATCTGATAAAGGTTTATTATTTCTCTTGTTAAATAAGAATATTTTTTGGTTAAATTTCAGCTCATTTAACATATGAATTACATGGTGATACAATTGATTTTCAACATACATTTGTACCAACAAAATATCGTGGTCAAGGTATTGCTGAAAAACTTGTTCAAGTAAAATTTATATTTGATCTAATTTAAAATTTAAATAATTATTTTATTTAGAATGCTTTAAATTTTGTTGATAATGAAAATTCAATTAAAAAAATAATTCCATCATGTTCATATGTAGCTCATTTTTTATCAACAAAAGCTCCTCAATATGCTCGTTATTTAAAAAAATAAAATGTGCTTTTTTTTCAGATGACAACAATTCGTTTAAAACTTCCATCGAATTTATATCGTCCATGGAAACCACTCTATCGTCAACGTTCAAAAAAACAACAAGATCCACCAGCACCATATACACCATTAGAACAACAAATATATGATCATGCAAAAATAAAATTTGATCAAAGAATTAATATTCTTCGTTCAATATTTGCTAAAGAAGGTCAATCATTATCAACTAAATCTCGTTTTGCTCAACTTCAACTTAAAGCTGAAGAACAAGAATTTAAACAATTAATTAATATGGTCAAGTAAGTTTTCTTTTGATAATCATTTATAGGAAAATTAAGAATATTTTATGAAATTTCTATTTAAATATACTTAATCATTGATCGAAAAAATTCAAATAAATATGTTATTCGATAGAATTCCATTTTAATGTTCATTGTTTAATTTTTTGCTAGAATTTCTTCTACTATTAAATCCTGGTTAGCAGAAAATTCCGGAATTCGTACTTATAGGATATTGTTGAAAATTTTTGGAACCTCTTTCAATCGAAATAAATCCAACGAGGAAACGAATCCTTTCGAAATTTTGCTAGTCTCCTCGAGTTTTACTTATGGAGCTCGAGCGGCAATTAATACTTGAAGCGTTTCTCTTGTAAGATTGACTCATTATTATCGTTACGTTCTTATCTCATTTCAAGTGATGAATATATTAATTTAAATTTTTAGAGAAGAAAATGAACGTTTACTTACAATGCGTCGTAATGATGAACGTTTATTATTAGAAGAAGAAGAACGTATTCGTTCACAAGTTATAAATATATTATCTGAAAAACAATTTAATGAACATTTAAATATTGAAGAAGAAGTTAAACAAATAAAAAACGAATCTCGTTCATGGGTTAATAAAAATGATTTATTACGTGAAATAGAACGAATGCTTAATGAAAAACATGATTATAATTTTTCAATTGATTTAGCTGGTATTAAACGAACACAATTAGGAAAAGATATTATCGATCAACATAAACCAAATTTAGTTTCAATAACATCTTTTGAATTAGAACCAAAAAATGTTGCAAGAAAACCACCTGGTGCTTCAAAATATGAAGAATAAAAATTTTTTTTGTTTTTAAATAAACGACATTTTTGTTTTCTTATAGCATTGATTTAAAAATGTTATCAAACTAAATTGTTTCTTTAAGATAAAAGGAAAAAGAGAATGTCTCGTACAACATCTGGAAGTACCAATCGAAGCAAATCGGGTAATGAAGGAAAAAAAGATAAATCAATAACTAATGGACATCAACAAAAAAGTATATTTTTTTATTTTATTCGTATTTTTTGTAATATTTCTTAATTAAGATAATAATAAAAAAGAAGAAGTTACATCAAGTGATGATGATGAACCAATACGTGCTCCAATTCAATTAAAAATTGAAGTAAGAAAATCAACAAAACAAAATACAAAAAAAATTTTTTTTTTTTTTGTTTTCAGTTTGTTAATTCAGTAATGACTCGTCAATGGACATTAGCAAAAAAATTATGTCATTTTATGTTAATGTATGAACCAAATAATAGTGAAGCTAAACAATTTTCTCCACTTATTGATTATATGTTGACAGAAGAACAATCTTCATCATCGGATGATGATGATACAAGTGGTAGAATAACAAAAAAATAAATAAATTCTCAAATAGATTATTATTATTTTGAGTTATTTTTTGTTTTTAGATGATGATTCATCTGGAAGTGATAGTAGTTCAGATTCTTCATCAAATGAAGAAGAAAAACAGAATGATACCGTTGAAATTCAAACATCAAAACCAATCAATGCTTCGTTATCAAATAAATGTCCATATCATAAGTGATTAAAAAAAAACAAAAGAAATTTCCGTCCATTTTTTTTTTCGCACGTATATTTTTAATTTGAATGAATCTCACAGAAATAAATAAAATTTCAAAAAATATATAATTAACAAATTCAATATTTCTATTTTTATTTCATCAATATCATACATTACAAATCAAATATTAGAACAATTATTTGTTTTAATTAATCTTACAGTTCTCTATTAAATTATTGTTTTAATTTAACGAGATTTAGATTATCGTTTTTTTTTCTTAAGCTCTTCTAGAAAGAAGTTAATTTCCAGAAAAATGAAAATTATGCAATGAAAATGAATTTAAAGGCATGGAAATAATAGTTTTTTAAATTTTCTCTAAAATAACCTAGTTCATAAAATGAAAATTATGCAAAAAATATCAAATTAATTGAATGATTTCGATGCTAGTAAAATAACTAAACGCATGAAAATTTTTGCATGCAAATTCAAACAATAACCATTGAAACGAATTGTCGGAGTTGTTGGTCATCATCCGAAGTAAGTTTAAGGTCTACTTCATTAAGTGGACTATTGTTGTCAATTTTTCGAATGTCACCAATTCGAAAAACTGTGTGCATGGAAAAGAGGATTTCCTCTTCGTTCTTATAAAAGCTCACCTCGCGAATGGAGTCGATGAAATTGTAGGATCAATGGTTATCTGAAATTGGATTCTGACCATATCAGTCGTTTGTAAGGCTCGATTAGCGAAGTTGAGGGACATTTCTCGGTTTTTACTGGTGGAGAAAAAATTGTTCAACAGTAGAAGAGTACCCTTGTTATTTCGGAGTTTTTCAAAATCGGCTTTCGATAGACGTTGTCTTTGAAAGATTGTAAAGATCTTTCCATGATAGTTCAGCATTTATTGACTTTTCAGTATCTCCCAACGATTATTCTTTTTTTCTATCGAGAATGAAAATAATAATGACATTATCAGTTTTATTTTTTTTTATTATGCATCAGACTTGCTTTCTGATAATGTGATCAGAAGAAAACGAAGCATAAATTCAATATCGTTACAAGCAACAATAGAACAACAGTTTCTGCTTGTCCGATATACTGTTCATCATTCACGAGTGTTTCGAGTAAAATAATGGTAGTTCGAATATAATTGAGTGTTGAAGTACGTATCACAAATTTCATGAAAGGACTAAAATATAGCTATTTTGATGGAAAGAACAGTACAAAGAACAAGAAATCTTGTAAAAAAAACAAACAAATGAAAACATGTATGGTTATATCATGCTTACCTGGAAATGAATTACTATGTGATTTCAATTATCCAATTAATTTCTACAGCGTGTTACAATGTTATTATGTATTTTTACATAATGATAAAACGCTATTTTTTGAAAGATTGTCGAGACACGGAACTTTTCATCCCTGTTCTCACCTTACAAAGTAAGAATTTTGGAAAAAAAATACCATAGTATATAGAATGAAGGTTCACAAAAAAACTTGACTTGCTAAATGCTCTGTTTGTTGAATATCACCCGACAACGTAATGGTATAGGGCTGAGAATTTTAGTATAGCCTCTTCATTACAACTCTAGAGCATCTCTTGCAAATTTCATACGATTTGAATATATTTGGTCGAAGATCAATTTTTGACGGATAGAAACATTAAGATGAGATTTTTGAAAACTATAATAGACTATTGTTTTTAACATATGTGCAAGAGTGATTAAAGTTAATGAATTCGAAACATTGAAATTTTATACGAACGGCTATGAGAACGATCAACATTTAATTATTGCTCGTCTTACTTTGCTCTTGTAGATTTATAGACGTATACGGTGGATATATATTCAGTTTTTGAGAATTGTAATAAACCTTTTACGTATCATTTTTCTTTCATCTTGAAAATATCTACTCTGTTGAACTCTTTTAATTGATAATTCGTTACTATTTCAAAGCATATAACATGTCATCTTTTTCCGCACTTTGTTGTAATTAATAAGTAATTTTATTAACATCAATAGAATAGGTAGGTTGCATGTTTAGTAATATGGATAATTTTTTACAGTGAAGTGAATTAAATCAATGATGTAGAGATGAAAGATATATCCGATGATGTTTTTTTTATATTTAGACTAATAGATGAAGAGTGACATCTATCTTGAAAATTTCAATTATATTCGAACTGTCAAATTATTTTTAATAGATACTTGTTATATATATAATATCGATCAAACTATATTTATGATTATATACTTAATAAACCAATGAAAATAGTATTGTCAACATAAAACAAATGACTCATCTTATGATGGAACAGAACAGATATATGATTCTTTCCACAATGATTTTCTCAGTTTGTTCTTTTATTCTTATTTAAAGGCGGAAAATACTTGTTTACTCTACTTTTTTCAAAAAACTTAATGTAATACATTTAATCAATCTCAAACAAAAGAAGAACAAACGTACAAAAAAGTCAGATGATGATTTTTAGATAACTATCTAGTTCTTTTTTAGATATTACACAGTAAAGAAAACATCGTTGAACAGTATGGCGTTACATAATAGTTGCAGATACAACTTAACTAGTTTTTTTTTCCAATAATTGATTCAATATTTATTCTAATTAGGATTATACTTTTGGTTACATCTGAACAAGTATAAAATATGTGTTGACTATAACTAAATTTGGTTTATTTTTTTTTTCGGGCGAACTTGGTTTAATAAATTATTGAGCAAAACAAATCAAGTTATTTATGACAGTTAACCATATACAAAAATGAAGATTTTTAGTGTATGGATGCGAACTTCTGCAACGTCCAATATTTTGAAAATTATATAAAAAGTTAATTTTTGATGATACAAGTAGATTTTAAAATGATTGACTTGCAAGAAAATTATGCTTTGACAATTATTTATAGTAAAGATTTTGTTATTAAAAGCTTTTTTTGTCATTTTTGCTTTTAAAGATTAACTGGTAAGAGATTTTGATGAAAAAAAAGAAGCAATTAATAATAAGTACAACATCATGACTGGAAGAGAAAAATCTGTTGTTATTCTTGGAATTATTTTTATGGTGACATTTGTGATGATATTTATTCTTCATATAAAATGGAAAATGTAAGATTATTTGAGTATTTCCTTGTTCTACGCAAAATACGAGCGCGAGTTAACCATGTGAAATGATATGCGTTTATATATTTTTTTTTTCAATAAGGTTATAAAAATTTTCCCATGATAGAGACATTAATGTTAACATTCTTTTGAAGACAAAATATCAGTTTCATTTATAACCTATCGAATTAAAATCAATGAGAGTTTAATATGAATTTTAAACAGATTTTGAAAAAAAAACAAACAAAGATTTTCTTGAGCAAACATTGTATCTATTTGATATAAAATCAGCTTCAATCCGATTAGTTTTAATCTTAACTGAAAAATTGTGAATGTCATAGCAGGAAATAAGAGGACACTCACTGAATTAATTTTACATATATTATAATAGATATCGCTTGATATGCTTCATAAAATACACTTGAAATGGTTAACAATTATATTTTAACTGTTTATATGAATAATCATTTAGAAAAATGTCTCAATCGATTTCTATTATTGTAATGTAACTTGTTGTCATTGGAGTTTTTTTTTTTTTTTTTTTTTTCTAACGAACAAATCCTAATTGATCAATGTCAATAAGACATTTCATGTGTTTATACAACTTCTAATTTGATAGACATTGTCAATCAATAAAGTGTCATTTTAAATAATGACCTTACTAATTGAATTTCGTAGAAATATATTCTATTATAAATAATCTTTTTTTTTTTGACATATATATAAATTCATTTTCTTTGAAACACATAAGTTATAAAAAAACATTCTTTCTATGCTTACAAAAAAGTTGACCCCTTATCATTCGTATATCTTTCTATAGCTCAAGCAGATGATAGTCTTCTTCTTTTTTTTTGATTCTGTCATTGTACTTTGCCCAGCAGATCTCATATGTTGACTAAATGATTTAATTTTCTAATAGAAACTAAAACCTAATGAAACTATTCGTTTTTTTATAAAACAGGTAAACCACACCATAAAAAAAAAGTATATCAAAAGATTGTGTGTGTTTATTTTTATATAAAAAATGTTGCTTAAGACTTTTTTTTTTCGTGAATAGAACTCGATAAGATGAATATTTGATTTACCTTTTGTCTTTGTCACGTATTTACTAGATGTCTCATTTGTTTTTTTTTTCTTCATGTCACAAGGGAAATAAATTTTTATTATCGATGTTATATGATCACAACATTGATTCAAATTATTTATTCGTTTTTTTTTGTTTTTTGTATTTCTAGGAAAAAAAGTGAAATAGTAATGATCTATCAAAAAACAAAAAAAAAATATAATTTCGTTAATATATTCGATGAGTTCAATAAGAAATCTATTCGAACATAGTTGTGATCTTTCATTTCTACTTACTAAGCTTTATTTCATTCTTTCTTATCGATCATTGTTCTTATCTATTTTTCATTTAGACATAAAACCAACCTTCAATGTAAATTGATCAAATAAAAAAAAAACACAAACAAAAAAAAAAATCCTTTTTTTTGTACAATATCATTGTATTTTAATCAATTTTTATGCATTTGTTGTTTTCTTGTATAACATAGCTTAGTTTAGAAATAAATAATATTTTTTCTTTTATTTCAGATTTTATAATCTCACAAAAATCAGCCTTTATGTCATTGGACGAGACGACAACTTCAAGGTGAGACAAATAATTATTGAACATAAGTACAAAAAACAAAAAAAAAAAAAAACGGAATATGTTATCTTTCTTTTTGAGAGGTGTAACCAGAATCATACGATATTAAGTTTATCGAAGAATAAAAAAAAAAAAAAAAACGAGAAGTTTTAATAATAACTTTTCTTTTTTATATAATACAGTAGTGAAGTATTATCCAATATGAAAAAATTTGTTCATCGTCGAATGTGCTCTTTGCCTTCGATTGATGATATTGTGGCTAAGAGTAAACAGCTGCTCAGGTACAATTGCTGCTCATTTTATTTATTTAATTTAAAAAGCAAAAAAAATTCTTTTGTCTTAACTAAAACATAAATATTCAACAGAAAAAACAAAAATTCTTTTATTAATAGCGCACCTACAGACTTCTCACCAATACCACAAAGTCCAATAGAAGAATCTGATCAAGTAATATTAACATCTATATCATTGCCTGCAGAAGCGCAACGATCAAATAGTTTTTTATCGGATTCTATCGATATACTTAATGAAAAATCTTCTAATATTCAAACAGTATCAATTGAACAATGTCTTTCAAATAATGAATCATCTAATCAAACAACAAAAGTTGTTGTTACATCACCATCATTTCATTCAGATTTATCATTAGAACAAAATGATTCAATTGATCCATTAAATTCATCATCATTATCATTTCTACAAACAAAACAACGTCGAATTGATCATAGAAGAAATAAAAGTGAACCATTTAAATCTGCAAGTACAGAAGATATACCATCAACAACTGTACTTGAATTATCTTCAACAAGTAATGAATCACCATTAAGTAATAATACAAATAATCAAACGAGAAGAAAATTATTAACAAACGATAGTTCAAATAATATTTCATCATTAAAAACTATTAAATCAATAACACAAGAAAAATCTTCTTCATCATCATCAACACCAAGAAAAAAGAAACCATGGTATAATGTAAGTATAATTTTGTTTTGTTTTTTTTTATTATTTTGATTGTTTTTTTATGATCATACGATAGTAAAACCTTTTATTTATTGGTTAATGTTTATGTAATACATATTTTGTATATTTTTCTTCCTTTTTAACGCTTCAATGAGTCAACTATTGTGTGAAGTAATAAGATGGTTATGATACTTTTTCTTTCTTCTATTTTTCTCCTACACAATATTACATTTTAAAAGAAGACATATGCACGAAAAAGAAAGAACGAGGTTTACGTTAGATGGACTGATGTCGAAACTAAAAATAAGTCGAGCGAGAAAGAGAAAATAAAACAACTGGTAAAGAGAAAAAGAAAATGTGCAATATATACAAAAAGTTGTCAGTCAGTACAAATATCATCCGATCTATCGTCAATATTTTTTAATGATTAACCATGTTAATTACGTTGTACTAATCTAACTGTTTATCTAGTTAGTTTTCATTTAAATGTGTCTAATCAATAATTGTATGAAATCTTATTTATAATGGATACGGTTCGATTATTTTTTCAATCAAAAAGTTTTCGACAATCAAAAAGAAAATTAAGTTTAAAATCTCAATATTCACAAACAATATTAAAACCTGATACAATAAATAATTCAAATAATAATCTTTCAATTGATACTGATGATACTCAAAGTTCATCAAGTGATAAATTATCTCGTGAAATAATTAAATCATTTCTTTCAACACATCCATCATCAACGTCAATTCTTTCAAATTCTCCATTAATTTATTTTGAACTTGAATCATGTTCAGGATGTGCAACACCATTACTATCAGATCCTACAAAAGATGCATTAGTAGCATCGAATGTTTCCGAATTAGTATCAAATGTACGTGAATTTACAAATATGTATTCATCAAAACGTCGTCGATATTTGAAGATAAATAATAATAATAATAATAACAAGCGAAGACAACGAAGAGTTTCATCATGTCACAATCGTAATATTCATCATACATCTCTATTGCAGTCATCATTACGACGTACACAATCTAATCGATATCCAGATAGAATAAGGAAACATCCAATGAAAATAAAATCTACAACAGAAAAATTAACACGACGTTATTCTCAAGTAAATAATTAATCAAATATATTGTTTTTAAAACTAACATTATCAATTGAATATATTCTTCTATTGCTTTTCAACAACAAATATACTGAATAATTATTGCTTTAACTACTTGTATATGGTCTATACACACTAATATATTAACACTAAATAAGATGAAAACAAATATAAGAATCGGTGCTTTGCTCATTTTATGAACATGCTTTTATTAGCTTATTCATTTTTTGTTTTTTTTTGAAAAGAATTTAATTTTAATTTTAATTTAGCCATTTCAATCAACATATCGTCAACGAAATGAAGAATTTCGAAAGCTTTTTAAAGAATTACCAAATGATGAACGATTAATTGTTGGTAAGATATGAAAAATTATAAATTTTTTTGTTTTTTAAATGAAAATATTTCTTTTAGATTATTCATGTGCATGGCAAAAAGATATATTAGTTCAAGGTCGAATGTATTTATCTCAAAATTATTTATGTTTTTATGCTAATATTCTTAATTGGAAAACAAGTTTATGTTTAAAATTTCAAGATATTCTTGAAATAAAACGTGAAAAAACCGCAAAAGTTATTCCAAATGCTATTGAAATTAAATCAAAAAAAGATGATAAATATTTTTTTGCAAGTTTTGTTGCACGTGACAAAAGTTATGCACTAATGTATCGATTATGGCAAAATTCAGTTAATAAACAAGTCATTTTGTTTTTATTTTCATTTTTTATTAAAAAAGAAAATAAATAAATAAAAATTTAATTTTAGCCAACATCAGCTCAAGAATTATGGACGATGATTCATGAAAGTTATGGTGATGATTTAGATATGACAACAGATGAAGAAGATACATATAATAAATCACCATTAAACTTATCATCGAAGAAAACATCATCCAAACAATCAATTGATAAATATGATGTAAGTATAAGGATTTATTTAAAGTTTGTTTTTTTTTTTTTTTTGGTTCGAAGTAAATCTATGAGATATGTTTATTTAATATTGAATTCAGTTATCAAATATTGTTTTGGTAAGTTAGATTGTATGCATGATGTGTTATTTTGAGCAATGATGTTTTGTAAAACCTATAAAAAAAATAATATGTAGATAGCTTAATGAAGATTATCAATCAGAGATGGACAAATCAAATTTTTATTTAAATCATTTGATTTTATTCTCATAAACTAAATCATGTTTAATACAAAAATAAAATTATATATATTTAGTATTTCGAATTAATTTATCATAAGTTGATTCTTTTTGTTAATTCGACTCATTCCCAATTAGATTCTTATTTGCCAAAAAAAAAAAAACAAAACTAACATAAGAAAAATGAGTAAGAGAGATAATTTGATGATATAGAATGTATCGATTGTTTTTTCATATCCTACTTAAATATACTTGATTCAGAGACGGCGGAAGAATTTTTGTGAATGTTGGATCTAAGTTTCAGAACATGGGACCCAAATGATGAGTTTTTATGAAAAAAAATTTGCTACCTAGATTTTTCTTTTTCTGTTATTAGTGTTTCGTTTTTTAGAAATTAATAGTAAGCTATATCGAATTTCATCTAAAAATGTGCAATCGTTCAGGAGTTATAACGTTTTGAGTTTTTGCTAAAATTTCAGCAACATGTAGCAAATTTTTAAAACATTATAACTCCTGAACGATTGCATATTGTTCGATGAAATTTGATGTAGCTTACTATTAATTTCTAAACAACGGAACACTAATAACAGGAAAAGAAAAATCTAGGTAGCAAATTTTTTTCATAAAAACTCATCATTTGGGTCCTATGCTCTGAAGCTTAGATTCAGCATTCATAAAAATTCTTTCGCCGTCTCTAATTTGATTTCGATAATGATATTCAATACAGGTTTTGTTTGCACAGTTGACATTGTATGAAAAAGTTATTTAGTTTAGCGCCTTTTTTGTATTCTTTCCATAATCGTAAAACGAAGCGTGACAAACAAATAACAACAAAAATAGTGAATATAATGTTCAGAGCGACGCATGTATTGTAAAATAGTTTGTAAATTTAAATCGAAGATAATCGTTTCACAAAATACAATCAGGTTTGTCAAGCGAAAATATTAAAAATAGAAATTTCTATTTTCAAAATCAGAAAAGAACCAAAAAATCTTTCTCAAAATAATTCGTTCTTGTGAACAAATCTATCATATGTTTTATTTTATTTTTGTTAACATTCTCTCCCTCTCTCTAAGTGTATTTCACGATAAAACTAACATACACAATTCAGTTCAGATGAATAATCCAAAAAGGTTATTTAGTTCGAAATTATTCTTTATTCAAAATGACGTCATATGAAATTCACAAAAGTACAAAGCCAAAAATAAATACATACATACATTTCAAAGAAAAAAAAGTTAAATATCGAAATTTTTCTTGTCAAATTAGTCAAAGTCTCAAAATATTCGAATCTAAAAGAAAAATTGAAAGATCTCATATTTCTGAATACGAATGTTCTATAGTCTCCAATTGAATTATTATTTTCATTCATTTTAATTGAAAGATTAATTAGAATCGAATTTAATTCGAAAACAACTATCACAGGAATCATAGATTATTGCATGAAAATTTAAACATACGATCTATCGGCCACTTTTGGTCTATATGATCCATTATATTTTTCGATATTGTCATAACGATGCATATCAAAGTATGCACAATAGTATCATTCTATCGAAGAACTTTCTATGTTTCTTACCGAATTTTGTTACTCGAAGAAAATAACTTGAAACTTGATGTATGATATGAAAATCTTAGAACTTTTCCATCTCTGATAAAAAGTGTTCAATTTGTTTTTTTTGTATGTTATTAATCAAATAGCGACTATTGTTATAAAGAATGCCAACATCAATATCGTTTTTTGTTTAAAGTCTGCTCGTTTGTTTTTTGTTTGTAAAAATGAAAACAAATATTTTATTGAATAAAAATTTGTTTTTTATCTCTCTTTTTCTGTATTCTATAGCGCATAACACCAAATTCAATGCAATCAAAATCTTTACAACAAGAAGATGATCGTTCGAGTGGTTCATCACATGGTGAAAATCCAACAGATGATGATGGTACAGTTCCAATTGGAGAAAAAGCAACAACAAATATAATTTTACGTCAACATCAATCAAGTTTAACTAAACAAGATACAAATATAACTTCTGGTTGGTTTGAAAATTTCAATTTTGTGAAACACGATCTGAAAGGAGTGTTGAAGTGTTTAGGGTAGAAAATTTGGACCCACCTCCCCCCACCCCCACAGACCGTGACAGAGAAAATTCATACCCATCACAGACCGTGACAGAGAACCCCAGGTACCCATTACAGACCGTGACAGAGAACCCTGGGTACCCATCACAGATCGTGACACAGAAACTGTAGTTGTAAAGTATCAGATATACGGTCAGCTACAAATGTGTCGTAAGGAAATGGAACAAAAGGATTTCCATTTAATTAGTAACAATAGGTCCATCGTGTTTCACATTTTTTATCCCGCAAGGGATTGCGCTAACACCTTTTTTTTTGTGTCTTTTATTAATAAAAATTTGTTTTTAATTTCTATAGAAAATCTCGAAGTATGTTATCTAGCACAATGTCCATGTCAATCACATTTAGCAACTGAATTAATTAATCGAACATATTCTATGTCCGTCGAACGTCTTCTTGATTGTATATTTGGTAATAATGATTTTCTTGATGCTTATCGAGCATCACGTCGTATCAAAGGTTCTGTTAATGCAATTTCCTTTTTTTTTCTTTTCTTGAATTTTTTATCTTATCTCTGTAGATTTTCATGCTAGTGAATGGCAAATTAATAATGAAACAGGAAAACGAGAACGTCTATGTACCTACAAGGTTACTGTTGCAGGTGTTATTGGATCGACAACAGTTTGTTCAAATGAAAGACAAGTAAAAATTAAAACAAAAGAAAAAAAAAAAAATTTTTTTTTTTCTTAACTATTTGATAAATAGGTTATTGATTGTGAATTATCAAAATCACATTATATATTGGATACTGAAATACGAAATGAAGGAATTAAATATGCAGATTCATTTTTTCTTGCTTCTCGTTATTGTCTTGTACAAATTGGACCTAATAAAACGCATTTAAAAGTTACTTGTGAAGTTAGATATGTTAAAAGTTTAATGGCTATTATTAAAAGTAAGCTGTTTGTGTCTACTGTTTTTTTTTTGCTTTTTTTATTAAAATATTTCAATTGGAAGTTACTTTAACTGACTCTGATCACGCCATTCCCCACGAAGCGTCATATATTACCTTAACATTCTGCCTTTTCTTTTTTCTTTCTGTGTTTTGCAAGACAAATATAAAATGTTAGCTGTTCTTTTTCTTGTTCTGTCATTGAAAGAATCGTGTGTTGATGGTGTCATATAAAGGGAGTGGTTGTTGTATAAAAAGGGAGAAAAAAAAATTAGTCAATTTCTATACGATACCATTCATTCATGTCTAAAGCATATTTTAAAATGAAGAAGTTGAAAATAAAATCAGCAATTTCTCGTTTTATTAAATGTCATATTTTATGTGCTCGTTCAGCGTTCATCGAAAAAAATGCCATGGCTGCTCTTCAAGATTCATTTAATGATTTAAGTAAGTTTTATCTTCCGTAGTTATATTCTACTGCTTATTGCTTCAGTGTTTGGCTTTTGTGTTTTAAATTTAATTTTTTTTTGTTTTTATAAAAGACAATCGAATTGAATTATCAACATTGTCAGGTGTGTGTTGTGATTGTGGTTTGTCAAAATTCGTTTTCCTAATTATATATAATATTAAATAAAAATAATAATTTTTTGTTGTTTGATTTAGTGAAACGCATGGATCAAGAATCTTCCAAACGCTCACGAACTTATAGTACTAATAAAACTACTGAAAAAGAAAATGTAATAGTATTAAATCCAAGAACATTACGTCAACAACAATCAGATGAATTAACTTCTTCCATAAATGATTTATCAATAAATTCACAACAAGAAGAATCAATTCAAGATGAAATTAGTAAATTTCTTAGTTTTTTTTTTAACTAAATAATTAATTAAAAAAAAAAAAATTATTTTATTTTTAGGCTCAGATGTATCTGTACCAGACCGATTATTTTTATCTAAAAATGCATTTTTACTATCATTTTGTCTATTCACGTAAATATTTACATATAAACAAAAATAATATTTTTTTTTTTTTAACTTTATAGAATGTTTCTTCTTCTTGTTGTAAATATATTTTTATGCGTAAAATTAAATCGTATTGATAATATGACTGATCATATTATACAAATGTATCCATCATGGTTACATAGACATACGTATGGAAAATATATTTTTTTTTTAATTTTTATTTTGAATAAAATTTTTCTTTTAATTAGATATCAACAAGAAGATAATGAATGGTCATCATTATTAAGAAAACAAGAAGAATATTATCAAACTCAAATAAATAATCTTCAATCTGTTTTAGTAACAACTCATAATGCCTTAAGAAATGTTCGTATTTATATTTATTATTTTTCTAATTAAATAATCTTTTGTTTTTTTCTGCTTGAATAGGTAACTAATGCATTACATGAATTATCGAAAGTGAGCAGTAGATCAAATTAAAGATGCCATCTATTGATCATAAGTATCAGTAAGGATGTTTTTATACCGGTGTTTCTCGTTTGCTTTTATTTTTATTGTATATTTATTCATTAGGAACAATGTGATTTTGTTTTTTGTTTTTTGTTTTTATTAAATATTTGATCAAATGTATAAGAAATTTTTTGTGTTTGTAATATTAAAAATGTTTAAATAAATAATACTTCTATTGTCATCAATGAACAAATAATAATAAAATTCAATAAAAAAAAAACAAAACAAAACAAACGAATCTTGGTTTTCTTCTTATTTTATTTTTTTTGAGATGGGTCGAAAATATTATTGTGATTATTGTGATAAACGATTACCAGCTGGTTTAAATCATCGAAAAAGACATAATCGAGGAATTCAACATATTAAAAATAAACGAACTTATTATCTTCAATTTCAAGGTTTTTTTAATGATTTTCTTTAATAATAATGAAGAACAAAAAAAAAATACATAATAATAAAGATATTTGATTTAGATCCTGTTGAGATATTATTGAATGAAAAAACAAAAAAAATTTGTAATAAATGGAATCAAAGTAATTCATGTCCTTTTGGTGATAACTGTAAATATTCACATCGATCAAATTATGAACTTATACAATTAATTGAACAAGCAAAACAAAGTAGTTTTTTTTTTTTGTTATTTTAATTTCTTTCTTTTTTTAAATTATCTTTTGTTTAAAATTAGATTTAAACAATCAATTAAATTTTGATGTTCATCGATGGATACAAAAAAGGTTACCAAATGAAATTCTCTTACCTGAATCTCTTACTTCATAACTGATAAATATATATGAAGATCATGATAGAATGTATCTATTAATAAAATCCTGCGGGGATAACCTGTATTTGCTTTTTATTTCCTTGAATAAATGAATATAGTACTCGTACTCCTACATTGAGTCACATGAGAAAAAAAAATTGTTTTGACTGTCTTTTGTTGATGAAAAATATTTGAGTGATTTTACAGAAGAGATTAGAATTTCCTTCAATGGCATGTTGTCTATGTTATTAATAATGATTTATCAGAAATTCCCAATAGTCAATATTAAGTAATTCTAGATTTTAATGTCTGCAGTTTGATGTACTTAATCGGCTTAGCAAAAAAAAAAAAACATTTTGTTAATACATTCTTTCGAAATGATTACTTAGCTCTTGGCAAAGTTTAAGGACGAAAAAAACAAAGTTTTTATGTATTAAGAATACATTATTTGTTGAAGTATTGAAAATCTCTGACCCGGGATGAAGATGTCTGTTCGATATAAATTTCATGTAAAACACATTAAAAATTGATTTGACAATAGAAGGATTATAAAATCATTGACAGATAAGTTATTTTGAATTGGTACAAATATTGATTATTATGAAAAAAAAAAAAGTAAAGCAATTGTTACATGAACAAATATTGAAATTTGTATGACGAGGACAATATGTTTGTTTTTTACTTATTTATCATAAACACAATTGTTCAAGTTTAATGTCTTGAAAAACTCTCTAAAATTAGTACTCTAATTATAAAAGTATTCTTGTACACAATATTAAGAAAGCTTAATTCAAACAAGTTACTCTGTCAAGTCTAGCATTTTGACATCCTCTTTCAAACAAAATAATGCGATTAGCTACAATGAAGCTCTTGTGAAGATTCATGAATGCGCGATCAAATAGAGCAAAAATGAAATAGATATCCTAGTTTTTCTTTTTTTCATAAGAAGTAAGCTGATCGAATTTTTTTTTTCTGTATTTTACTCTTTAACCTTTTGCAAAGTATATCAATTTTATTATTGATACAAGTAACTATTATTGGTAAAGTTAACTTGTTAGAATACTTAAAATCAATCATTTTTTGATTATCTTGAAATAGAAATAAATTCAATTCTATTTCAAAGATTGTCAAATATTTGACAAATAAAAAAAAAAAAAACGACGTTTATAAGTTTGACAAAATTTTTATTTAGCTCGATTTAAAAAAAGAACAGAATATGATTAGAATTTCTCTTATATTGATTATTTATATCATCGTGACAAGACAAAAATAACATCTATCAATTTTTCGTCTCCATAAAGATTATACTTTCAATGAAAAATATCATTTTACATTTTGTAATATCACAATAACAAATAATAATCATCAATTCTTCAAGAACAGAAAACTTTTTATTAACATTGTTGAATAGCATCATCTAATGCATTTTTAATCAATTCTATTGGAAATGAACCTTGAATTGGTTGAGCTATAGAACTTAACTTTTTCATATGATCAATAACATAAAATCAAATTGGCCATGGACTATAAACTTTACGAAATGGATTATTTTTTAGATTATATTTTGGTTGAATATAACATATTCGACTACTAATTAGTCTATCTTATTCAATTTCATGATTATTTCAAAAGAATCAAGTTTTTTTAATAACTCACCATTCATCTGATGCGTAAGCTTCTTCAATATAAATAGTGATCATATCAACATGATGTTGATAATTTTTCCATTAGTTGATTACGTTAGGGTACAAAACTACGAAATGGTGGTCAAGTATATGAACCAGTTATGATTAACAATGGTCAATTAGGATGACAATAAGATAATAATGAAACAAATAAAGTGATAAATTATGAAATTCATTATCATTTACATATAATTGATGAGCACTACGGAATATCCAAGAATAAAAAAAAGAACATTCAAAGTTAGAATCAAGCATATGTAAAATTCGTTCAATTATTATTTCTAATCAAGATAAAACAAATTCAACCACTTAAAAAGAAAATTATAAATATAGTAATATTTCTTTAATCATAGGTGTAGTAAGTAAGTTTCCTTAATCAGTGAAATGGAATATTTATCTAAAAGCATATTGAATTTCATTTTCTTTTGCATCTTCACGAATAACTTTTTTTTAACTAGTTCAGTTTGTAAATTCGATATAATACAATATCTTTTCGATCTTTAATACTTAATAATAATTGTTGAGTTTCTTGATTAAGTCTTATATTTTCTTTTTTGAATAAGTAAATCTTTAAGTACATCATATTCTTATAGTCGAAATACTTGTAATTGTTTTCCGACAGATGATTATGATTGATCATTGGAAACATTATCATCATCATCATCAACTTCTTCTTCACTATTATTTTCATGTTCATCATCATTTACATTCGACAATATGATGTTTTTTATATTTGGAACACCTTGAAATACAAAGATTTCGTTGATAACATTAAATAATTGTGAAAGAACAACTTGTCCTTGTAAAACAAGGTTTTGTAATTCGGTTGATGATAAAAGTTCAAGATTATTCAATTGTTTAAAATTGAATGCGAAAACATTTTTAATAGCTTCGGCAGCACCTGTAGGTGGCAAATTTTCAAAATCTAATCGACCACTAGTAAAATGATACATTCCACCACGTAATCGTTGTATCATATGAAGTGTGGCTAGATGTTCTATTTTATATTCTGAAAGAGTTCTGTTATTATCTAGGTCTTTACTAGCAAATATTAAGCGTTGTTGATTAACAGGAATATCTATCTTCTCTTGCATCAAGTGTTTTACATTAGCTATAGTCATATCAGAATTGACATATAAAATAATCGTGCGTCCAGTAAGAAGTTTTACAAGAATCATAAAATAAGAAATTGATTCTGCAATATCAGTCTATGAAACAAGAAACTGCTGAAGTAAAAAAGGAAAAAAAAAATCAATAATTTACTTTTTCTTGCAAAATTTTTGCTGTGATAATGCGATTTTCTTCATATAATTGACCTGACAACACGGTATCATCTGACTCGAGTGTTCGATCTTCATTCGAACTTTGTTTATTCGTTTGAGAACCTTGATCTAATATTGACAATTTCAGTTCTATTTTTGGTAGTTTTCCAAGACTTTGTAATTGTATTTTAATCTTTTCTATAGTATCTGTTGGCAGAACACGTAGTAGAAATGGTTCAGGTATTATATCTTCACGATATTCTATGAAGATATTTAATACACCATATGCAATAAATTGATAACCATCAGAATATTTGAATACAGGTGATTTTAGTTCAAAATCATTTAAAGTTAAGATACCATTTTCATTGATTTTTCCAATTTTAATCCATTTTTGTAAATATTTTGGTACATAATTCTTCTTATACTTTCTAAACAATGTGATGATTAATTCGTGATCCATATATTCATTAGTTATTGAATTTCCGTATGGATCAATAAATGTTATTGAACGCGATTTTAATTCCTTTCGTATCTTTTTATTTTTCCATTGAGTATCAAGATATTTTGCGATTTCGATTATTTTATGTTGAATTGCTTGAACATTAACGATCAAATCTTGATAAAAGAATGAAGTTAAGTTTTTCGATAAAGCAACTGTCGATGTCGCTGTTGAATTATTCATTTATAGATTTGTAGGTATCTAAAACTAAAGAAAGGCTAATAAAGTAAACAAATCAGAATGCCAACTGCTTTGTAGAAACAATCATTATTAGGTTGTGTGAGTAAATGAACAGATATACATGTGAATTTTCTCTTCCACAATAGTCACATCCACTTAGTTTTCATATTCAAACATTAAAATTTCTGAAAAAAATCCATCTCTATGGTTTTTGAATTCTGATTAATAATTAAAAGAAAATTATAAAGTTAACGCATTAAGAGAGTATAGTCAAACATTTCAATAAACATGAAGGAAGTTGATTACGACCTACGATTATGAAACAATTTATAGACATACACTCAACTTTTTAGAAAACAAATGGTCGTAACTTTTTAAAAAAATTACTGAATTTCATTCAGTATCTCTCTAAATTTTATGCTTTTATATAGATACTATGAAAAACAGTAGTTATAAAAAGTAGATTTCAAGTTGAAATGAGCTCGAATCACCAAACTTTCACAACAAATCGAAATTGTTAACTGTTACAAACAGCTTAGTAGAATTAGTGTAAATCTAAAATAGGACGACTTCTCAGTGATAATGACGAAGTCAAGACCAATTTATAGTTGTCTAAAAAGTTGCGTAAAGACGAACTAAATTTTATTGATGTTTTTCGTACAATGGAAATACGCACTTAAAATGACGCATGCAATTACAAAATTATTGCGCAAGCAAAAACTAAACGAAATATAATGTGCTGCAATATTTTTTATTCTGTTCACGGATGATTGATACACGTTGGAAAAAACGACATACTTGACTTTTGCCTACAAGTAGAAACAAGATGCCTCATAATTGTTGATTTTTATCTTCCCAAAAAAATAATAAAACGACGTAAAAAGGTTAGAACATCGCGTTATAAATTGTTCGTGAAATATAGGTAGCTTGTCTTTTGAATACTTTCACATTGAATGGACACTGACTTAACAACTACGCTTCATATTAAAAATTTGTTTGTGTATACTGTTATCTCTTTCTCCCTATTGATCTGTGTATTATACCGAATAAACTAAACATAATCTATTCACTTTTAAATAGAAATGTATGCCTATAAAAACGACGAACGACATGACGAAATCATTATAAATTAAACGAAAAACTCGAATAGATGATTGATACAGATTTGGTACAATTTCAGATCAAGATGTCAAACACTTTATAATGTGATTTTAATGTATGGGTACAATGGTTGATGGATTTGAAATTTTGTCACATAATTTCGTCGACGTTACAATTTCGACGTGAAATTTTCAAATCATGTTATTATTAGGTACTGATCGATTAATTGATAATTAATTTAAAAAAATCTGAATAGTACTTTTTTTATGCTTTACATGATTGCAGATCTATTCATACGATGCTGACTTTTATAGCTAATGAAACAATTCTTTAGAATGCAATCGTTTGATTTAAATATTATTTGAACCTTGTATTAATAGAGATATTGACTTATATGTGAAAAAATTATACAGGTGTCAGATTCAAACTAATACTAGGTTAAATAAAGACTTCGCATTGATAGATTTCTTCATAATAATTGCTTTCGACTGCTTTTTTACGTCTTAATTATCTATAAATTATATCAGCATGGCAAATTAGAAAAAACATATCATACAGACTCCATAAGAAAAGCAGTAGATAAAGAATAAGAAGTGACTAGAGACTTCAGGCTGAGGTAGATGAGATGCCCTTAGAATATATTTTTTAGAATTAATTTATTTTATTTAAACTCTTGAATTTCTCTTGTTTACTTGATAATACATGTTGATTGTATCAGAAAGTCATACTACGGTATGAGCAGCTATCGATCATCTATAGATGGGAATAGTTTGAGCTTAAAAGTGAGTGTGCCTCAAACACGCAAAATCGTTCGTCGAGCAAATAATTAGAAATTTTTTTTTACAAAAAGATGATACTGGAATATATGGCCAAATGAGAAACGATCAGCAGAAAACATCTTCAG